CACCACACTCTCCCAAGTGAGCTAACCAGCCATCCCTATATAGGGATCCGAACTTGTGGCCATGGTGTTATCAGCACCACACTCTCCCAAGTGAGCCAAGGGTCGGCCCCAAGGGAATGGTATTTTTCAAGGAGAAAATAAAATACTAATTTTCCTATATTGTACCACCAAATCATCTTTAGATAATTTCAGTGTACAAGGAATGGTATTAATACAATGATTTAATTTCCCTTATTCCTACTTGACTCCTACATGTGAGGGCTGCTAATGTGTCTTGGCTGGATCCTGAAAAGGATGTCTCTCCATTTCCTCAGGTATATTTTGGTAAGAGCAGGAAAAACATATCTACATATAGAGTTTCAAAGTCTACAGGACTGCTTGTATTCTCATAGTTGAGGGGCTCCTTGTATTTTAAATTTTGAGCTTGATTTGTTTTGTGGTTCATTCTTATTTATGATTTTCCAATACTCTCAGAAGAGGTAAAAATTATAAGTCAGAAAAACAAGCACTAAAATTATGTAAAGCTTCCAAATCATAAAGTACAATTCTATTGTTTTGCAAAGTATGAGCAAAAATAATTTTTTCATTAAGATAAAACATAATAGAAAAACATCCATCTGCATTATTTTATCCAACTGGTCCTTAGTCCACTTATCCACCCACCAGGATGTTTTGTTCAAGTCTATACTTGTACAGCTTCACTTAATGTTTAAAGGTTTTAATCGAAGGTAGACATCTATCACTGTTGCTTGATCAAAACCCNATATTCCATAAATGCTTAATAATAATTATTATTTTTTAATAAAATCTTTTGTTATTTATTTGTTTATATTTATTTTTTAGTTTTATTTTATTTTGTCAATATACAATGTGGTTGACTATTATAGCCAATTACCGAAACCTCCCTCCCTCCTCCCTAAATGCTTAATAATTATAAAAGATAAATTTGCTTAAAATTTCAGCATTTCAAATGTATACACTTGTATAGGATGTTGTATGAAATTACTTTAAATCATGAGTCACCATCGCTATACTGAAGATGTGTAAACTTCAACAGGAAAAATGTTAAGCTTCTTAAACTTCTTA